TTTTTTTTTGATACCAGGAATTGAACTCAGGACTTTGCTTGCTGGGCAGGTGCTATGTGGCTGAGCTTTGTCTTTCTTTAGTCCAAGAATAAGAATATTTTGAGGTGTAAATATTTTAAACAGTCTCAGTAAAGATTTATTGGCAGTATTGTTAGTGGAGTTGCAGTGTTTATATCATCTCATGAACAATATTTTCTAACTTGATATGTATCTTTTTAAATATACTTTCTGGGCCTGCCAAATAGCTCAGTGGATTAAAGCATCTGCAAGGGCTGCCGTGCCAGCTCCGTCCCTGCGGCACACTGAGATGCAGTTGAGACTGGGCATGGTGGCATGCCTGTAATCCCAGCTCTTGGGAGGCTATAAACAGGTGGATCACTGCGGGTCCAAACTAGTAGTGAGACCCTGAACACCCTTTTGTGATACAATCCCAAAGTTACTTATTTAGTGCTTAATGTTTTAAAATACTTCTAAAACTTTAAAACGAAACATTGGTCTAGACAAGAAAATAGTTATTCTTTCCTTTATCCTCCTAGGAGATTTGACAGTAAGCTGGAGAACAGTGAGACATGGTAGTACATGCCTGTAATTCCAGCATTCTGAAATTTGATGCAGGAGGATTGCACATTGAAGCCCAGTCTGGGTATTTTAGTGACACCCTCTCTCAAAAGTCTGCAGATATAGTTCAGTGATAGTGTGCTCATTCAGTCCCTGTACTGAAGAACAAAAAAGAAAATTTGAAAACCTTTGGGATTTCTGAACAACTATACTAAGAATTCCCTGGGAAAAAATTACTGGTTTTCAGAGTGGTACATGTGTCTCAATGAAGGGGAGATTTCTCCTTGCTAAGTAACTACTTATCTCAGATTAAGGAGATAATGTCTGTATCCTTTGCATGTGAGACATCATTTAAACACATTCTTGCCAGGCATGGTGGCACATGCGTATAATCCTAGGACCTAGGAGGATGAGGAAGGAGGATTGCCATGGAGTTCAAGGCCAGCCTGGATACAGAGGGAGACCCTTTCAGGTAGGTAGGTAATTAGGCAGGCAGGCAGATAGGCAGATAGGCAGATCAATCAGTAGAGATCAATCAATTGATTTAATGTTTTCTAAGCCTTTATTACAGCCACTGGAGAAACTTCATAGAAAATGGTACTCAGAATGAGACTGAGTAGTATATATGTATATTTTTAGTAAGCTGTGTATGTTTGGTAATTCTTAGTAGAGAGTATGAATCAATTCTATTTGGTTGTTTTTTTTTTTAATTTTTTTTTTTTTTTTTTTTTTTTTGTGGAACTGGGGATTGAACTCAGGCCCTTGCACTTGCCATGGAAGTGCTTATTCCACTGAGCCATCTCCCCGGTCCCCTTTTTTTAAATTTTTATTTATTTATTTGTGTGTGTGTGTGTGTGTGTGTGTGTGGCCAGCTCAGCCCACCAGGGAGCGGGGCTGGCTGGCATGTGGTGCTGGGGGATTGAACCGCGATCCCTGTGCTTTGCTAAGCTTGTTCTAAGTAGGTGCTTTAGACCACTGAGCCATCTCACCAGCCCCAAATCAATCCTCTTTGATATTGTCCATAGTCATTTACCTGCTGTATATTTTATTCTTGTGAGTCATACTTATTAAAATAATTTTCCTTTCTTTCTAAAGAAGAATGGTAATTGATCTTTAAATGCATCTGTGTTTACAGAGGCTTACATTTTAATAAGTCTGTACCAAAATATAGTACTCCTGTAGAAAAAATGAGTGTCATCCAGAGATTTGAAAGATCAACTATACAAAGTGATGTGATTTTTAAAAAAATTTTGTTTAATCAGATTATAAAGACTTTGGAACACTTACCCATTCCTACTAAAAATATGTTGGAAGAAAGCAAAGTACTTCCAGTTATTCAACGTTGGTCTCAAACCAAGACTGCTGTGCCTCAGTTGAGTGAAGGAGATGGATATTCCAGCGAGAATACATCACGTGCACATACGCCCCTCAATACACCTGATCCTTCTACCAAGCTGAGTACGGAAGCTGACACAGACACTCCTAAGAAACTCATGTTTCGCAGACTTAAAATTATAAGTGAAAATAGCATGGACAGTGCAATCTCTGATGCAACCAGTGAGCTGGAGGGCAAAGATGGCAAAGAGGACCTTGATCAGTTAGAAAATGTCACTGTAGAGGAAGAAGAAGAGATACAGTCACAACAGCCATTCCCTGAACAGCTGTCTGAATCCAAAGTTGAAAGTGAAACCACTGTGGAGGCCAGTAAACTACCCACATTGGAGTCAGAAGCTGACACGGAGATAGAGCCCAAAGAGAGCAGCAGCACCAAGCTGGAAGAACCCCTTGCTGAGGAAACACCATCCCAAGATGAAGAGGAGGGTGTGTCTGATGTGGAGAGTGAGAGGAGCCAAGAACAACCAGATAAAACAGTGGATATAAGTGATTTGGCTACCAAGCTACTGGACAGTTGGAAAGACCTAAAGGTAAGAAGGTATTTTTTTTATTTTAACCTAAATTATTCACCTTGAGGGTTCTGTAAATGTAAGTGGAATGAACTGCTTTAACAATTTGTATTTCTGAGAAATGAATTACTCTCTCTACTCTCAGCTAATGTAAAATGTATCTCAGATATTGTTTACATCTTAACAAAAAGTCATAGGCCAGTCAGAGCATTGTACAGATGTTTCCTTTTCTCTCATTGAGAGAAATACATTAGTAACTTCAATCATGCAAACTTCACATAAAAAAAAAAACTTTTCAGTAAAAACCTTAATTCTATTTGTAATGAGGAAAAACAATTTATGTAAATTAATTGGAAGTCATTTTATTGGATTAATATACAATTAAAATTGGAATTAATCAGAAAAACAAGTAATTTAGGTAACTTCTGATCAAAATGATTGAACATGAGTTTTTTTAACATGAATTTATATTCATAAAAACAACTTTATGGAGCTAGTTAGTATTCATTTCTATTATTATTTCTCAAATAAGTCTGCTTTTAAGTGACTGTTCAGACAAAAAATGTTATCTAGGGCTGGCCAAGTAGCTCAGCAGATTAAAGTACCTGCTTAGGCAGATGAAGGGGCCAGGAGTTTGATTCCTGGGCCTGCCGTGCTGGTCCATCCCCAGGGCGTGCTGAGACACTGATTGAAACTGGGCGTCGTGGCGCATGCCTGTAATCCCAGCACTTGGGAGGCTGTAAACAGTCAGATCACTATGAGTCCAATCTACACAGTGAGACCCTGTACACCCTGTCCTAAATACAGGGGGAAAAAAAAAAAAAAGAGTAGCAAGATATACAAGGTTTGTTTTGCATAAAACTTAGCCTGGGTCTTGAATAGATACAGGAGTGTTTAGCAACATGAATTTATGAGAGGACATGGTAACAATTTGGTTGTAAAGGCTGGACCTGAAATCTAGTTCTTGAGAATCCTGTAGGAACAAATCACTTCCTATCTTCTGTTTTTTCTGTTCTTTCTTTCTTCTGCCAGAGGTCAGGTAATCAAATAAATAAGCAATCCCGATTTCTTTGCCACAAGATGCAACTACAAAACTCACCACATTAGATCTTGTGATTTGATCCAATGGACCTGGTCCTACACTGAAAAAAATGAGTAGCTGTTTGGTTGTATTCTGTGCTTCCAATTTTTCTGTGTTGAGACCCTTTAAGTTTGGTGTGGTTTCAGCTTTTGTTTATTGATTTGTGTTCTTACTCATGTTACTCTTCCATTTAAAATTCAGCATAAACTTTATTATAGAGTATTAATGAAATCTGACTTTTTATAAACATAAAAGGAAGCATTCATAGCAAATCTGCTTGTGATACAGTGTGTGAATTCCAGGAATCAGAATTGCAGTTAATTGGAAGAGACGTTGGGATGGTCACTTATTTAAAGCCTATTTCATGTCAGTGTAGGAGTCCCTAAAAGAAGGCCCTCTTGTGTTTGGAGGCTACTGCTGGAGCTTACACTTAGGACTGTAGCTCAGTAACAAAGTTAGAGATGGAGATGAGTACGAAAGTGGCCAAAAGAACCCCTTTGCAGCCATAGTTTTATAAGGAGAAAATATGAAATTGTAGACCTAGTATAGTAGTTTGTCTGCCTCTGGTTGGTGACTTTTTTATATTGATAAGCTATCATCATAAACCTGCCTTAAGATCTGTGTAATAGTTTGTTTCTGTCATTTTGATGGTATGAATTATTCTCTGGAATACACATAACCCAATTAGTTGTAACTGGAGTAATTTAAGGTCACACACTGGACATTTATCAGTCCTACAAAGTTATTTCATCCCCTTCTTATCGGCACTTCTGTCTGAAAGATAAAAGTAGTTTTATAGTGGTACATAGGCTGATGATCTTCTTGACTAGAAGTTTAAAATTTTATTTATGCTTAAAGTATCTTTCTTATCTTACATACTTTGTATTTATCTTAACTCTTAACATCCAGGGAGCCATTAAATAAAATCCTTCTTCATACTAGTTTGCTCTGGAAATTACATTACTGAGAAATGTCTTTACTTGCCTGTGAACTGTGGTGTTATGTTTCACATTGGAGTGGGGATTCTTTATTCTTCTGTATTCTAGTTAACATTTACTGTGGCTATGATTTCTAAACTGATTATGTTTGTGTTTTTATTTTCTTTTTTTAAAAGATAATTTAGATAGCATTTAACCAAAAATCTGAAATAGGAATCCATAATTTGAACACATTTTAAAGAAATACGTTGACTTAATGTGTTGTGTATATCTGTACTATCCCGGCATCAAAAGAGTTAACTACTTCTGTCTGACTTCCACCTATGTGTTCAAGTAGACAGTGGCTGAAAAGAAAATACCTTATTCAACAAACCTTAATTAAGCACTTGTTGCCAAGCACAGTGTTAGTTGCGGATATTTAATTCCAAGATTATACTAAAAACCATTGATTAAGATAGTGGTTATATTAGCCACTCTAAGTCTCCCTGACCTAGGGGCACTGCAACATTTTTGCGCATGTGTTTCACTTGCCTTTGCAAAAGTGAACAGAATGCAGAACTGAAAGGGATTGCTTCAGATTCCTTAATCTTGGTTTTGCTGTGAAGACAGACTGTAGGGATCATCATTAAATGAAAGAGGGTGGGAGGGAAGGGAATGAAGCTTCATGAATTACTCTTTGTCCTCCCAGATCTGATGATGATCCCCCTTGTAACTTGAACCATTTCCATCTAGCTTCTCAGGGCAGCAAGGAGCTTGTTAACATCACCAGCTGACCATGTGTCTCCTTTTCTCAACTCCATTTCCAACTTCGTGCTGAAGAAAAACAAGAACCTAGCGTGCATTCTGTGAAGATACAGGAAGATGGTTGGGAAGTTGGATGATGCATGAAAAATATAATAGGTGAAAAGAGGACAGAGGTGGTTAACTCACTGGCGCCGGCGTTATTTTGGTGCGTCCATTGCCGACAATGGATGTCGTTCCGGGAAATTCCCTACCTCTGGCAAGAAAGGATTAAGTGAGCTACTTTTTCTATACCTATATACACAGGACCACTGCCTTGACACCATGAGGCTTACACACTCTGACTCCTAAAGTAGAACTCAAGCAGAAAATTCACGTAGCACATTGTTATATACGAGCATATGTTCATTATCATGTGCACATTTAGTGGGCTCCATTTTTGGCAGGGATTTGTGCATATATTTCTCTCTGAAAAGGCTATTTCCTCTGCTGAAAAGAGAGCCTAGATTTCACAAGGCAAAACAACTGGTTACATGTAATGACTAATTATAACTTGACTGGAAAATCTTCATTCATTTGGATCATGTGAAGAGGAGGAGGAGGAGGAGGAGGTAAGGTTCCCATGAACTTGGCAGTTTCATTTGTTGTTTAACACCAAGAGGTTGTAGTGGTCATTGATCCCAGAGTCTTTCTTACAAGCACTTAAGATTATAGATGTGCATCTTTCCTGATAAATCTGGGTGGTTTCATTTATACCTGAATTTAGATGGCTTAGGGATAGCATTTCCTACGTGTGAGAATTTGAGCTCTTCTTAAAGACTATTCTTATTATTCTTCTTTCATCTTTATCTAGACATTATCCCTATTTTTAAAGTACATTATCCCTATTTTTAAAGTGTTTTCCTAGAAAACTAAGCATTAAACTTTTTATAGAAACTTTAAATAAAATATAGTAACCAAAATTGGAAAGTTTGATGCCTGAAATTTCACTCTATTACTAATACTGTATGTAAGATCTGCTGTGTACCAACTTATATTTCCTGGCTGGGATGGTGACACATGCCTGTGATCCCAGCACTTGGGAGGCTGAGGTAGGAGAATCACTGTGAGTTTGAGGCCAGCTGGGCTACATAGTGAGGCCTTGTCTTAAAAAAAAAAAGATTAAATATTCTGATTTCTATTATACATTACAGTCTGTAGTAAACAGATAATTTTACACCCGTGAAGATCAATATTGCTTGCCCTTCTTTTTAAAAACAATTGGAATTGCCCTTTTTTAAAAAATGCTGTTTTGGATAATGTTGCATTACATATTTTTGGTGTCTCATTTGGAAATATATATTATCTTGTCTTTTATATAAAAAGTGTGCCAACACCTGGTCCAAATGATGAAATACAGAATCTGGCCACCTTAAACACTGTCTTTGAGCGAAATTGTTTTCCCTTTACTCTTAAGGATGAATTGTTTCCCTAAAAACACACAACAATCATGTTTCTGTTGTTCATGAAGTATTGTTGTTGTTTCAAGTTTTGACTTATGTGTAGGAAAAGTTACTTTAAGTGATTTGGATGTGAAGCCATCTGAGAAATGAGAGAGTACTATACATAGGATTTCTAGGCTTACAAAAGACAGTTCTGAAATGTTTCTTCCTCAGGACCATGATGTCAGTCAGAAACTTAAGATACTTTTCAAGTGTAGATGTAGGTAGTATAATCTAGTCTTATTTGTAACCATAGTGGGAAATACATAGTTTTCTTATTTAAATAAATAAATAAATAAACTTATTTATTTATTTATTTATTTATTTATTTGGTGCAATGTCTCGCTACACAGTTCAGACTTGTAGTGATTCTTTTGTCCCAGCCTCCCCAAACTGGGGTTACAGGAATGTGCCACTGTACCTGGTTTTGAGGCCAGCTTGGCACAGCTGAGGTTCCAGGGCCAGCACGACATGTGGTACTGGGGATCACACTCAGGTCCTTGTGCTTGCCAGGCAGATGCTTAGACTACCAAACTATCTCCCCAGTCCATTTTTCTTCTTAATGTTTTAAATTATAAATTTTGTTTTAGTTTTTGGCGTCAAGATGTCACTGTAGTTCAGCCTGGCCTTAACCTCATTGTATAGCCCAGGCTGACTTCGAACTTGTAGTGATCCTCCTGTTTCAGCCTGCTGAGTACTGGGATTATAGATGTGTACTACCATTAATAGTTTAGACTTACAGATTCGTGCTTTATTCAGGAACGATCCACTAGTTTTATT